TATTAACACGTCGAGCCTAAGTGCACAAGCCTAAGTTAAGTTAGCGCCGAGTTGTTGCTTCTTGTGCCAAATTTGCAACTTTGTTTACATAACACAAACTTACATACATACATTTACGGTATTTTACTATGCTAATATGCCTCTTTTGCACAATGAAATGCATGTGTGTATGTGCATTTCATGGTCAACGCAATTGAAATAATTGTGGTCAGTGAAGATTAATTATGTTTTTATGACTCGTAATTCTTAAGTGACTTCTATTAATAGCGATGAGTTGGCGTTTAAAGAAAAACAAATATTTTTTAGCACTTGAATGAATTAATTTTCATATATTTTTTGAACTTCTGCTTTAAATAAGACATAAATGTTAGAGTGAAGTGGCCGAGTGATTTGCTCTCGGCCGTTTAGGGCAATAAAAGTTATGGAATTACAAGCATGCAACTTACTCACATAAACAAGTGAGTAAAATTGTTGTTCGCAAAATATATATATTTATGTAAAATAATAAAATATACTCACTGGAAAATAAAGTCTTTTGTAAAAATAAAAATAGAAAAACTTGAATTCGGTAATAAATAGATATTGTAAATCGCAAATATGTTAAAATAAAAAAATTAAAGGCTGCCACCTGTTGGAAAATTTTAAGTAAATAAAACCCATAAGACAAAATATCACTGTTACGAGAATCAAGCCTAGAAATGTTTAAGAAAACTTTAAGTTAAAAAAATAAAAAAGAGTTGCCATCCTTTCGAAAAATTTAATCAAACTAAATAGATAAGACGAACTTATTGTTACGTAATTAACGTGAAACTAAACGGGTTGAAGAGAACTTATTGTTGAAATTATGGTTTAAAAAAAACCACGTTGCCACCTGCTTGAAAATTTTATATAAGAAAAATCGTCTATAAAAAGTAAATTTATGATTTAGATCAAATTTTACAGTTTTCATAAAGCTAACAGTTAAAAAATAAACAGGGTTGCCAGAATTTTAAAATTTTCATCAAACTTAGTTGATAATTTAAACGAATTTTAACAACAAAAACATGCAACTAAATGCGTTGAAGCGAGCATAATGTTGGAAATATATATTAGCAGAACGTTGCCACCTATTTGAAAAATTTACAAATAGAAAATCAATAAGGCAACATAATACTATAACAAGTATTAAACTGAAGATATTTAAGCAAGCCTAAAGTTGCAAATGTATTTTGGGTTGCCGTCTGATTGAAATTTTTTAAAAATTAAATTGATACGAAAATCGAATTATTACAAAACACGCATCAAAGTAAACATTTTTCAAACGTTTTAAATTTTTATAGTTAAAAGTATATAGAAGACTCGTTGCCACCTGTTTAATTTTTTATTAAAAACTAAAGAAGTTATTATTCAATTCTATATTACAAAATAAAATAAATAAATATTACAATACGAATATGAAAATATGTTTAAGTAAGGTTGCCAGCTCTTTACAATTTTTTATGACATAAAATTTGTAGAATGAAAGAACAATTTAATAGTTATAGTCAGTGAATGTATGACCGATTTATGTCTAAAGCATTCTTGGCCAGGATTGCCACATATTGCAATTAAAATTATTTTTCATGATTACTTGTATAAAATTGATAAAATTAATGAGAATTCATAATTTTTGTTCTGATTTGTTATATTTGTTTAAAAATATTTTTAATTTCAGCAACTTTTTATGTACCCCACTTCAATTATCACACCATAGTTACCTCAAACCCATTTTTGGGGTCTACGACATTTTTTTGTTTAGTTATGCTTTAAAATTTTTATATGTCTAAAATTTTTTTGTTTTTAAGAATTGTACGCCAAAGCCAATAGCGGAAAAAATAATAATTTTGATTTTTTTGGTGATTTTTCGAACCGAAGTTAGTATGTTATAGAATTATTTGGTTTTATTACTTTTTGATATTATATATTAGTAACATACAAATATATATATATATATATATTTTTTTTTTTTTTTAACTTCAATTAATTTATTTTATAAGAGTTTAAGTATTCCTTTTTTATCTTTGAGCGCTTATGACTCCATTCCATTATAGTTGTAACTGTTTCAATAAGGTTCTAATGCATACATATCACACACGAGTATATATTTATATAAATGCATATATTCACATATATAAAAAATATAAGATTTATAATTAACGAAGTAATTAATAAAAATGTGATCTTCACTTTTTATGCACCCAAACATATGTACATCTACACTGAATCGCTCATATTTGCTTTGAAAGCGTGCAATGCAGCGTGTAATTAGAACGTTGCAGGGCAACTGAACAAATGATTTATTATCCGCGACGGGGTGTCATTATTCACAAATAAATGTAATTAAATGGAACTTAACATAAAACAAATTGCTTATATGTATATACATCCACATAACTGAAGTGTTCTGTGTTCTTATGTTTCGTGCATATGTGTTTTAAGATGTGTATATGTGTGTGTTCAGAGAGCGTTTCTCAAGTGAAGTGCATTTGCTAAATTTTATTCTTTTTCTTATTATTTTTTCTATATTTAAAATTATAAAACAAACTTTTTTTACATTTATTTTTATTATTTGTTGTTGTTATTTTTTGGCTAATTTAGCATTTCCACTGCACTTGAGCTTATTCCACATATAAAACTCACAATTTACTATAAAACCTATAAATTTAACAAAACAATTACCGCGAACAGGCAAGCTTGTATATGTGTGTGTGTGTTTCTTTATCCGTTTGCCAAGCATGTGTGTGAGCAACTATTGTATTATATGGAGCCATATGACATGGTCAATTAGTTGAGCTTTGCATTGCTAAGCAAAGCTTTTAAAAATTACGCGCCAATAAATTCATTTTAAATTTTTCGGTTTGCCCATTAGCATTTTCATGTGTGAAACGGAAAGCAATAATGTGTGCTTATGTGTGTGTGTATGCGTGAGATGCTCTTGAGACTATGCAACAAAAGGGAAATATATATTTTGTACGTATATTAATGGGAGCTTCATAGGAAAAAGATGAATTTAAAAGTAATTTTTGAAAAAATATTTTTCAGGAAGGTTGCCACTTGTTCAATTAATAAATTTTTATATATGTATTTTTATCGTAAGATTTTATAGTTTATAAAAATGTTATTAATTTATAAAAATATTTTTATGGTGAGCTTCTAAAACTGTAGAGAATAGAAAGAATTTACAGGCGTTGATGCTGTGATAAGAAAATTTGTTCTCACTCATAAACAGATAAGTTCAGAAGAAAGCGCAAACTTAAAATTTTAATTCATTATATCACGAAACTTATTTACGTTCATTATTATTCATTAAAAAACTTCGATGAAAAGGCTGCGATATATCTAAGTGACTGAAATCTCGGTTAGTTTAGGTTAGTCTGGTAGGCTAATGAGTAGTTTTGGTCTTTAGCGATGACAGATGGAGTGCAATTTCATAGTTTATGAGAACCTGAAGGTGCCAGCGCTTCACTGTCGATACCTCTTGCAGTGTCTCATACCGTGAAGCCCCCCTTCACCTTTGAAGTGTTGCCTTGCTAATGCTGGACAAGTGCACCAGAGATGCTACTTTCTATTTATTATACTTATCTCTTACTACACTTTTTGCTTTTCTTAATTTTCAATTACAGATTTTTCGAGGTTTCCAATGACACACAGCTCCCTTCATCCTTCCTTTTAATCCTAAGAAGGCATATTTATGCTCCAACAGTAGTTGAAGGAAATTACATATACATATATACGAATATCTACTAGCATATTGGATTTTACAAGATTCTGTGTATAATATGGTTTGCTCTAGAATTAATAAGTTGTTTGACAACCTTTTTCCACACTTTAGACTATAATTCTATAAGCATCTAAGGCTTTCAAACCAAAACTAGAGCTTCTAGATATACCATAACTTTTCAGCATCTCTATCAAATATAATTCTGGCTTCGACTCACTGTTTCACAGTGTAAGATTGTTGGCGTGAAGATTCTTGCGGCAAGCCGCCAGGTTGAGGGTCAATGTGTGCGCATGTGCATGAGAGCAACAAAGTCAACGAGCAGCTGCTGCATGTTTGCGGCCTAAACTCGAGGACACTGCTGGCGGTCGCTGTGGCAAAGTTGAGCAAATGAACGGATATGTCAGCACCGAGCGTCAGCTGATGAAGTGAAGCTGGCAGCAAAAAGAAGAAGACAAAATAGTTTTGCCAAAATTCGTTGGAGGTGGCAATGATGCTGTTGTAGCGCTGGCGGCCGTGCGCTATGTGCCACTGCCAAGCGGTTTGCAATAAAAATAACAATAAAGCGACAACAACAACAATGCACTAGCAATGACTAGAGAACTAAGCATAACCACAACAAAAGACACTGAAATGGAAGCGAATGCGCTCGATGCTCAATTTGTTCGGAAAATGTATACAAGTGTGTATGTGTAGGTGTGTGCCTCGGCGCACGAGAGTCGGCATGGAGAAACGTTTAAGCGCTGGTGCGTTTTCCGCTAGTCGCGTGGTGTGGGGTGCGGGTTGCGCGCTAGTCTAGCGGCGTTGGCCATTAATTGTACTGCTAGTAACTGCAGAGAATTCACTAATCAATTTTTGTTGTTATTGTTGTGCATGTTAACCATATTTAGGCATGTTATTGTTGTTGTTTTAGCCGTTTAAACATTTCTGTTGGCTTCGGTTGGCTCAATTGTGCCATTTTATAAGAATAGAATTCGTATTTTCAACATTTTCAAATTCAGCAACCACAACAACAACGAAAAACAGTAAGGAATAATAATTCATGTAAACGCTTTACTTTGGCGCATATAAATAGTTGTGTCTTAATGCTGTAGAGGATTAGTTGTGGCAGAACCTTAGGTGACAACAGTTGTACTTGCAACAACAAAACGGTAATAGTGCTACAAAGAGCAAGTGTTCGTTTGAAACGACAAACAGTGCTTACGAAATCCTTTCCGAAATGCAACGCATTTGCTTAGTGTTGTTTAGCTTGTGCGCAGTCGCCATGGCCGGCTTCCTCGGTGGCGGCGGTAGCGGCTGGAGCTCTGGTGGAGGTGGCGGTAGTCGTGGCTGGAGCTCCGGAGGCAGCGGTGGTGGTGGTTGGAGTGGTGGTGGTGGCGGTGGTATCTCCTTATGGCCCAGCAAATCCTCTTATAGTAGCGGCGGCGGCGGCAATGGCTGGCGCTCTTCGGGCGGTTGGTCTGGAGGCGGCGGTGGCGGTGGCGGCGGCTGGCCGGGCAAATCTAGCTACAGCAGCGGCTGGTCGAGTGGAGGTAGTGGTGGCAGCGGCGGTGGTGGTTGGAAATTAAGCAGTCTCGGTGGTTCAGGTGGATACGGTCGTGGCGGCGGTGGTAGTGGTGGTTGGGCGCAAGCGCTATCTGGTTGGAAATCGGGTCTCGGTGGTGGCGGCGGTGGCAGTGGCTGGAAGTCAGGTGGTGGCGGTGGTAGCGGCTGGTCACTAGGTGGTGGAGGTGGTGGCAGTAGTGGTGGCGTTTGGAAGATTAGCAGCGGTGGTGGCAGTGGTGGTTATGGGGGCGGCTGGCCATCAAGTGGCAGCAGTGGTTGGTCATCTGGCGGTGGTGGCGGCGGTTGGAAGTGGTAAATCTTTCAATAGAGCCGTGAAGATCAATAGCAAACGAAAATGTTGTGTTGCGTTAAAGTATTTCCCCAAATGTGTATTTAAGTTAAGTGAAGGCAGAATTATTAAATTTAAGCATACATATTTTCACGCACTCACTTGCATACATATGTACATTTTTGTAAATAAAGTCAATTGCATTTAAAACCACGATATTGTTTTCTTTGAAGATAAGTTAGATTAATTTTCGGTAGTTTCGAAGTGACATTAGTAATTAAACCAAGAAAAACGTTGACTAGGGCTTCACCTTATAATACCCTCAACAAATACAATTGTATCCTATACAAGAACTTTAATCGTTCAGTTTGTATGGCGCTGTATGCATAGTGGGCAAATGGTGCTTTCTTTGTGAGAAACGGACGTGTGCTAAATTTCAGGTCGATATCTAAAAAACTAGACCCTCAGTTCGTATGTATAAAAATATGTTAAACAGACGGATGGACATGTCTAAATCGACTTAGCTCGTCACGCCAATCATTTATATAGTATACTCTATACGGTCTGCGACATTTCTTTCTGGGTATTACAGGCTACATGGCAAACTTAATATACCCTGTTACTGGGTATACAAATTAAAATAGTATGATGATGATTTACAAAATAGGAAAGTGGAATGAGACATCCATCATTCACAAGGTTATGAATTATTTAGAAATCTCCTAGAATTCATTGATGAACATCTCCCAACTTCCGAAACTATATATTTACCATTACGGAAGCAAACTGAGAAGAAACTGCTATCTCAAGGGTTTCATGACTGCCTCAACCTTTTTTCGACCGGATAGTTTCAACGTAGGACTTCTCAAATTGACATTTATTAGCCGATAGTAATTTTTGAGCTTAAACTATTTATCGTTAAAATGTTGAGCTCACTTTGAAGTAAAAGAAACTGACGTTGCCTGGAGGTCATTGCTTAGCGTTGAAAGATTAATTTCGTCTCTGCTGCAAATGTTTCAATTGCGGTTATTAGTGCTGACTAAGTTTGTGGAACAAAAACGGCGGATGCCTTAAGAGTTAATTTAACTATTTTACCAAGGTGCAATATTTCATCCGACCAACTTAAAGCTAAAAATTTCTGAGAATACCTTTAGATATGTCCGAAGCTATCTAGAGCTTTTTTACTCTAGTCAGTTTCGTTTATGTGGACCGAGAAGCATATGATCTGCTACTCTTAGATCATGTTTAATGTTTTAATATGTTAAATTATGCTGAAGGATATATATCAGATATCAAAGTACCGAGTATCATGGTATCGGAACATTACATCTTCATTGAAATGCTCTTCCATGAGAAGAAAGTCGGTGGAAGTAATTACAAAGCAATGCAAGAACGATAGAATATATACTTCGATCGATCATACAATTATGCTTGACAAAAGTTTAGAAGAATACAACGAAAGCTTGCTAAAGACATTTCAGATTATTTGAATATGGAAATAAATTTTAAATTATATATTTTTAAGTTAACTTGTTCAAGTTTAGTAGTAAACTCGAACGACTGCGATGAATATGTAGGACGAAAGAAAATATTGTAACCCTATTTTAATAAATACCTCAATAGTTAAGTTTAATCAATTTTAAAATTTGTTTATTCGTCGCGTATTTGTTTGGTTTTTTTAAGCAAAAAATTATATCAGTTGAAAGGCAAACAAAGAGTTTTAAGAAGCTACATTCAATAATATTTATTTTGAGAAAGGTTACACCTTTTAAAAATTATAAAAAGATTTAAATATATAATGGAATGAATATCAAACTAAACAGAGTTAATCAAATTTATAGCAAAATATTTTTGAAAAGAGTTGCCACCTGTTGATTTTTTAATTTGATTAAAATTTTATTAATTTTATAGTATTATTAATTTAATAACCTGAAGTGAAGATATTTACTTAAATAATTTTTAAGGAGGGTTGCCACCTATTTAAAAGTATTCATTTATTTTAAAGATATTGAAAAATCTTTAATTAAGCACATCAAAAAGGATCATACTTTATGATTTTAAAAAGCAATAAGATACTTTGTGTCAATCCTTATGAATCCAACTTTAACTTTAAAATTTCACTATTAATGCACGTAGTTCTAACCGCACAATTATTATAGTTCTAATCAAAAGATAATTTTATAATATCAGCAACCACAAAGAAATAGTTTATAATGCTTTTAAAATGCCATTTTATATTTATAAATTATCTTTATTATAAAGATATAAACCAGCATAGTTATGTGAGTCGAAAATAAAAGTTTTACCAAAGTTTTAATTTTATGTTTTTTTTTTCAAGACAAGCGAAATAGTCCAGTTAGGTAAGCAGAGCATATATCATTCAAACAATCCCGTTCTGTATGCCGTAATCGTTTGGTGTGGAAAGCGATGAATTACCACTTACGCCACCACCACATAACCACCGCCGCCACCATCCTTACCGCCGCGCACCACGCCTGATTGCCATCCGCCACTTCCACCTCCTTTGCCGCCGCCATAACCACCAGAACTACCGCCATAACCACCAGAACCACCACCATAGCCGCCTTTACCGCCGCCGCCACCACCACCTGATTGCCAACCGCCACTTCCACCTCCTTTGCCGCCGCCATAACCACCAGAACTCCGCCATAGCCGCAACCTGCCGCGTATCCTTTGCTACCACCTACCACTCACTGTAACCGCCACCGCATATCCGCCTTTGCGCTGCCACCACCATACACCACCACCACCTCCTTGCCATCCGCCACCGCCTGCAACGGCTAAGGCGACCAAGGCCAACAGCAATACAATGACGAAAGCGCGCATCTTTCAAGTGTCTCTAGTCGCGGTTCGTCGAGGACTCGAAAATCACGGTTCTGGTTTGCTGATTTGTTGATTTGTTATTTTACTGATGTCTTTGTGTGGCTGCGTATGCTTCAACTCTGTGGTTGATTTCACTGATGCCGCTGACACTTGCAACATCGCTTTATACACGCGAGCTCTGTGCATTTCACACTTGCCGCTTGGCTGTTTTGTTCCTTTTTGCCATCGTCACCTTTTTCTTTTATTACTGCTTTATTTATATTACAATTTGTTATTGTTTATTTTGAGTACTATTGTTTTTGTTTTTGTTATGCAGTAAAATTACAAGCACTTTACAGTTTTTGTCGGCAATTAGAGAAGTTCAAATCGAAGCGCTCATCTCAAGCATAAATTAATGAAATCGGTTTGTTAGCAATGCATAACAATTTCTACAAATAATAGACACACATACATACACACATTTACTTATGTTACATATACTCGTATATAGTTATTTCGCAACAAGACAACATTCGAGTTTCCATTTGCAGTGTCATGACTTTGGCGAGTTGAACTTTCTGTCGCAGCAAAAGGCGGGAAAGAACAAATCAAAACAAAAGTACCTGTAGGTGTGCATACATATACATACATAGATGTATATATAGAAATGTCTATGCACATTGGCGTATGAATATTCCAGGCTTTAATACACAATACTACTGTTGTTAGGGGAAAGCACAAAGATTACTACAATCAAAAGCAATTTTGTTCATTTTCACAATAAGTGGCAACACTGATTACACAAACTGTCTTAAAGGTTTCCATATAAATATAGTTATATACTTTTGGATGACATTATATTTTGCATACATTAAGAGGTTACATGGGTTTCGTCGAGCAAAACGTCCTATTTTATATCATTTTTTTTTCATATAAAAATTAATTTTTATTAAACTTTTATTATTCAAAAGATACATATTTAATAAAGATTTTTGAAAATTTCAAAGAAAATATTCAAAACTCGGTCATTACGACGTCATTTCGACGTCGGATGTTCTCAGAAAAAGTGCTGCGCGTTGACAGCAGAACTTCTGACAAGATTATAAAAGTAAAAAAAAATACGCTTTGACCTAAGACCATGACTAGGTATGGGACGGAGAAAAAAATGTAAATTTTGGTGAAAAATTTCTCGACGTTTTTGTTTTTTAAATAGTTATAATTGAAAATCAAATCTTGACAATCCGTGATAAATCTTGACAACCGACTTTGAAAACAGAGTTTCGAGAAAACGCGTTTAAAGTTTTATGTATATACTTGACTCTAGCGCAACTTTTAAATTTATACCTTAAAACTATTACTGGGATCAACTTGAGAATTTAGGGCAATCTCTAGAAAATCTTGTAAAAAAAAAAATTATGTAACCCTTAAAAAGTATAATATTTTTCTATAGTTGGCAATGCTGTTAAAATATTTTTGCTCAAAACTGTTTTATTTACGCTTTATCTTTTATACAGCACATTGCGCATATAGAAAAATATTTATACTTTTTAGGGGTTACATAGAATTTTTTTTTGGAAGAGGATTTTCTAGAGCTTGCCTAAATTCCTCAAGTTGATCCAGGTAATAGTTTTAAAGGGGTATAAATTTAAAAAGTTCACGCTAAGAGGTCAGGTAATTATACAAAAACTTTAAACGCGTTTTTCTCGAAACTCGTTTCACAAGTCGTTGTCAAATTATTCACGGTTGTCCAAGATATTATCAATTATAACTATTTAAAAAACAAAAACTCAGAAGATTTTCAACCAAAATTTACAATTTTTTCTCCGTCCATACCTAGTCATGGTCTTAGGTCAAAAGCGTATTTTTTTTTACTTTTTATAATCTTGTCAGAAGTTCCTGCTGTCAACGCGCAGCACTTTTTTCTGAGAAACATCCGTTGACGTTCGAAATGACGTCGTAATGACGAGTTTTGAATATTTCTTTTGAATTTTAAAACAAATCTTATTAAATATGTATCTTTGGAATGAATAAAAAGTTTGAATAAAACATTTAATTTTAGTGAAAAAAAAATGAATTTAAAATAGGAACGTTTTCTGTCGACGAAACCATGTAACCTCTTAATGTAGTGCAAATATAATGTCAATCACAAAAAGTAATAATAATATTTATATGGAACCTTAAGACAGTTTGTGGTAATCAGTGTTGCCAAACTATGTGTGAAAATGAACAAAAATTGCTTTCGATTGATAAATCTTTGTGCTTTCCCCTAAAACAGTAGTATTGTGTATTAAAGCCTGGAATATTCATACGCAATGTGATAGGACATTTCTATATATACATCTATGTATGTATTGTATGCACACTACAGGACTTTTTGTTTTGATTTGTTCTTTTCCCGCCTTTTTGCTGGCGACAGAAGTTCAACTCGCAAAGTCCATGAGACACTGCAAATGGAACTCGAATGTTGTCTTGTTGCGAAAATAACCTATATACGAGTTATGTAACATAAGTAAATGTTGTGTATGTAATGTGTGTCTATCTATTTGTAGAAATTGTTATCATTGCTAACACGCGATTTCATAATTTATGCTGAGATGATGCGCTTCGATGTGAACTTCTCTATTGTCCGACAAAAAAGACTGGTAAAAGTGCTTTGTAATTATTACTGCATAACAAAAAACAAAAACAATGTACAAAATTAAACAATAACAAATTGTAATATAAATAAAGCAGTAATAAAAGAAAAAGGTGACGAGTGCAAAGGGACAAAACAGCCAAGCGGCAAGTGTGAAATGCCACCAGAGCTCGCGTGTCATAAAAGCGATGTTTGCAAGTGTCCAGGCGCATCAGTGAAATCAACCACCAGAGTTGAAGCATACGCAGCACAACAAAGAACATCAGTAAACTAACAAATCAACAAATCAGCAAACCAGAACCGTGATTTTCGGATCCTCGAGACCCGCGACTAGAGACATTTTTTAAAGATGCCGCTTTCGTCATTGTATTGCTGTTGGCCTTGGTCGCTTAGCCGTTGCAGGCGGGCGGATGGCAAGGAGGTTGGTGGTGGTGGATATGGTGCGGAGCAAAGGCCTTGATATGGCGGTGGCGGTTAACAGTGGGAGGTGGTGGTGGTAGCAAAGGATACGGCGGCGGTAGTGGCGGTTATGGCGGTAGTTCTGGTGGTTATGGCGGCGGCAAAGGAGGTGGAAGTGGCGGTTGGCAATCAGGTGGTGTGCGCGGCGTACAGGCGGCTATGGTGTGGTTCTGGTTGTTATGGCGGTAGGTTTCGGTGGTTCATGGCGGCGGCAGGAGGTGGAGTGGCGGAATGGCAACAGGCAGGGTGGCGGCGGCGGTAAAGGTGGATACGGTGGGCGGCGGCGCGGTGGTTATGGTGGTGGGGCAGTAAGTGGTAATTCAATCGTTTCCCACACAAACGATTACGGCATACCGACGGGATTTGTTTTGAATGATATATCTCTGCTCACCTAACTGGACTATTTCGCTTGTCTTGAAAAAAAAAAACATAAAAATTAAAAACTTTGGTAAACTTTTATTTTCGACTCACATAACTATGCTGGTTTATATCTTTTATAATAAAGGATAATCTTTTTATAATATATAAAATGGCATTTTAAAAAGGCAATTATAAACTAAATTTCTTTGTGGTGCTGATATATAAAAATTATCTTTTGATTAAACTTAATTAAAATTTTGGTGGGGGGCGGTTTAGAATACGTGCATTAATAGGAAAATTTTTTAAGTTAAGTTGGATTCAATAAGGATTGACACAAGTAATCTAATGATGCTTTTAAATCAAAAAGTATGATCCTTTTGATGTGCTTAATTAAAGATTTTCACATATCTTTAAAATAAATGAATACTTTTAAAATAGGTGGCAAACCCTCTTAAAAATTGATTTAAGTAAATATTTTCACTTCAGGTTATTAAAATTAATAATACTACTAATTAATAAAAATTTTTATATCCAAATTTAAAAAATCAACAGGTGGCACTCTTTTCAAAAATATTTTTTGCTATAAATTTGATTAACTCTGGTTTAGTTTTGATATCACTCCATTATATATTTAAATCTTTTTTAAATTTTTTAAAAGGTGGTAACCTTCCTAAATACAGTATTATTGAAATTAAATCTTCTTAAATACTCTTTGTTTTGCTTTCACTGATATATTTTTGCTTAAAAAGAACCAAAACAAATACGCCCGACGAATAACAATTTTAAAATTGTTAAACTTAACTATTGAGGTATTTACTAAATAAGGTTGACAATATTTTCTTCTGTCCTACATATTCATCGCAGTCGTTCGAGTTTACTACTAAACTTGAACAAGCTTAACTTAAAAATATATAATTTAAAAATTCTCCAAATTTTTCCATTTCAATA